TAATAATCCTTAGGGAGTGGAACAAATGGACCGTTACTGAGGTTTAATCTAAAGTTCTCTGATTCCTTGTGTGTGCAGTGGTGATTAGCTTCTTTTAGAAAGTTCTCATTAAAGCATATTAATATTTAAATTTACATCATGCTAACGAGTTACAATTCATAAAATGCTGTAATTGTTAGCGGTTCTCCTTACCACAGCTACAGCTGGAGACGACAGAAGGTCATTGGGGGTCATAACAGTGAAATAAGCTACATTGACCAACACGTAGCACACAGTGACCAGAGGGATTCCAATAACAATGGCCAGTGGCAAATTTCTGAAACATGTCAGCAAATAAAACCAGATCAGTGGAGATTTTTTTTCAGGATTTATTGTTAGAATTATAGCAGACTATTTATTCTGCACTGTACAATGTCCACTGTCTCTATAGTCGTATACAATTAGTATGTTTTACCTGTATGGGTCTTTGAGCTCCTCTGTGATGAAATTTAGTTGGTTCCTGGAAAAACAATGAGCTCTTTAAAGCAACTGCATGATTTATTCTGAAGTCTTACTCATTAAAGTAAATATGCTCTATGACCAAGAAAATGAGCCATTAATATGTTCATGTATTACAGATATTTGTTAAAAAATATAGAGATCTGCACACATATTTAACATCCTCCAATAGTTTCTTCTTAAATCCTAATAGTAAGTTAGCCATCTGAGTTTTGTGTGTAAAAGGGGACTTTTTTTTAAACGGTCCACCCAAAAATGTACTATAAATGTGAAACAATAGATTTGGCAACCTGACACAACCTGGGCTAATTTGTCAACTGTTGCTCTAATTACGCATTTCAAAAACAGTTTGCTCTAGAAATTCACATTCATGTAGAAACGAGAAGAAAAGAGAAAGGAAAATAGAATTCACTGCACCCTGAAGCCTTTCAATCAATCAGTTGAAGGCAGTGGTTCTTAACCTGGGTTTGATTGAACCCTAGGGCTTCGATGAGCCGGTCTCAGGGGTTCAACAGAGCCTCTGCCGCAGAGGTAAAGACACACTTGTGTCAAGTCGTGATGACACTCCCCGCTTGGCCATCAGTTGCTGCAGAGGATCACGTGAGATTGCTTGGCCAATCAGTGCTGGCCCCAATAAAGTATCTTGTGGATTCAAAATTGACAAAAAACAAATTAACTTTAAAATAAAATAAAAAGTTATTAAAAATGTTAAATTGTTTTTAAAAAATCCTAATTTATTTTTTGTTAGTAAAATAGTAAAAAAAAAAAATTGGGTGTGGGGGGGGGCTGAAATTTTTTATTGGGCCAAAATATTTTTGGGAGGCCAGAAAAAAGTCATGTTGTAATTTGTTGTGAGTTCATGCACTGTGTTGGTTTTGTTCTTTGAGCAAGGTGATGTTCATGCACAACTCATTTTATACACCAGTTAAAAAAAACATATACCTATGTCTTAAATTTGGGGGGAAAAAATCATATTTTATATATCACTAAAAAGGGTTTGGTGAATGCGCATTCAGAACTGGTGGGTTCGGTACCTCAAAAAAGGTTAAGAACCACTGGTTGAAGGGGAGTAAAAACAGACTTAAAAAGAAATGTGGTCATCTGATGCAGATTGCAAAATTGGAAAAGGGAAGTGAACATCAAACTGTTACCATCCATCATAAGCCCAGAGCCCGTTATAAAATGCAAGTCCAATCGCTCCAAATGATGTTGCTGAGCCTTCAAAGGCATTTGACAAGTTCTCTGTGTTTCCTGGAACCCAAACCATAAATACATACATTAAAAAGGATGTAGAAATATTAAGAAACACTTTATCACATCAGATGTATTTTATATATTTGAAGCAAAGAAAGGGCTCACCTTGTGCCATCAGAACGATGCCAGCTACCACAATGATGATTATGATGATAAGTTTGGCTACAGTGAAAAAGTTCTGAACAAAACTTGCTAGCCTGACACTTAGGCAGTTCACAGTGGTGATTATAACTGAGAAAAAAAAACGAGAGATTGGATTTTAGGAATGACTGTATTCCTGAATTTGCACTGAAAGTGTCAACAAAGGCCTGTTGTCTTACATATCGCAGCTGCTGAAAGACACTTGAGAACCAGAACAGGAGGAGTGCAGCCTGCGTAGAAAGGAGCAGAAGCGTACTCCGCAAAGCTAAGAGTGATGATAGCAAAGGAGGAGGGCTTCAGCACCATGACGGTGGTCCACGAGTAAAGGTAGGCCAGGAGGTTCCCAAAAGCCTCCATTAAATAGGAATACTCTCCTCCCGATTTGGTGATCATGGTACCAAGTTCAGCGTAGCACAGAGCTCCTGTGTACAAACAAAGAAAAAAACAAAATGAAAAAAATCATTAATTATGTTTAAAAAAAGCAATGGAACTGACCTAAGACAGACTGCCCACCTTATTTGCATAATGAGGCAGAACTGCATAAGGTAAAATAAATACAGAAGACAGAGAAATGTAAAAGCCACACATGGAAATAAAAAGACTTGGGCGAAAAAAATATATAAAACACAAATGCATACACAAGTAAAATTATATATTCGTTAAACCAGTAAAATGTAAATTATGTGCTAAAATATATAATTTATTGGAACTAACTTGTAAAAATAAATACAAAAGTCAATTAAATTATAAAACCTGAGGTAAAGTTTTCATTTTTAAATTTAATTGGTATGCATTTTAAGCGTATTCATTTACGTATTGGTCCATTTATATGACAGTTTCAGTCCTCCATATTTCAACTTTAGTCTCATGACTTAATTCTCACAATATTAAGATGTTATTCTCGGCTTTGGCAGAGTGGTTAGGGGAGTCGTCCTGTAACCGGTTTCTCATTCCTTTTGTATCTGTCATTGTGTCCTTGGGCAAGACACTTCACCTGCCTTGCCGCCTTGGTGGTGGTCAGAGGGTCTCAGGCTACAATGTAGCTTACCACCATCAGTGTATGAATGTGTGAATGGCTGAAGTGTAAAGTGCTTTGGAGGCGGAAGGGACTTGATAAAGCGCTACATGAGTTTAAGCCATTGATCGTATTATTATTAGGACTTTATTCTCACAAAATCACAACTCCATTCTGTTTATATCATCACTTTATTTTCATAGAACCATGACTTTATTCTGTTAATATGACTTTATTCTCACACAACTTTTTTCTTGTATTATTGTTATTATTATTATTAAGACATTACTCTTGTAATAAAAAAATATCTTAGTCTGGCCCTTATGCTTGGTCATACCATACAAACATGAGTCATTTCAGTGTAAATTATTGACTGCATAAAATTGATTTTATTCTAAGTTTTATACTCTGTTGTCTTTCCACCATTGCTGCTTACCTGCCGTATAAGCACATTCTTATGTTGTCGATTATTACACATTAACATTTACCACCCTTGAACCAAAGGACAAAGTCCTGGTACATTTATTTTAGAACTTTTTAAACACTAACAGACAGTTTACAAGACATGCCAAAGGTATGGTAGGTTGTGTCGTGTAAAAAAATGATGAGCATTTATAATGTTCATAAAACAATGAGAATGTCTTGTTGTTGAAAATAGAATAGCAAAGACTCAAAAGTCCAACATATGTTTGGTTTGCAGCATTGCTTTGCAATGCACCTAATAACCTAATTTAAAAACATTGGGCCTCATGCAAGAATCGTTCGTACGCACACATTTGTTCTTAAGTTGTGCGTACGAGTGATTTAGGAGAATTTGTGGCATTCACCAATGTTATTCTAAGATTTTTTTTCAGACACGAACAAAATTCATGAGTGGTCCAGACCTGTCGTATATTTTATGAGCAGTCAGTCTGCTGTTATCTAGACAGATTTTCTTCACTAATAACTTTGTATTTTGTTAGTTTGAAGATAATTTGAGTTGAAAATAAATTACACTCCATAATTATGTTGACAATAGGTTATTCTGTTTGAATTAGAGTTATAATTTTAAATGTAATAATGTAGACTTAAAATGGTTAAATTAAAATAAATTGGCTATTAATTTTGTTGTTTAGCACTACAATATTAATATGAGGTTAGTTGAATTTTTGAAACATTTTAAAATGCTTTTTTTTTTTCAGAAACGCATGGGGGGGTGCGCGACTGCCCCTCTGAGTAAGTGAAACATGCAACACAGTTGTTTACACTGAAACTAAAAATATTTGACCAAAGAAAAACCGGAGCAGGACTAGAGAAAGATAAATATGGTTTAGATTTATATTTCTGTGACTGTACGACCCACAGGAGACACGACATTAACAGCAGTCATTATTTCATTCCTCGACTTTAAAGCAGATCCTTTAATTCCACAGCTGAAGCTGCTAAAATGACTTTTTTTTGTGGATCTCCGAGAGCAGGACTTCAGTCTCTGAACTAGTTCTTCTTTTTTACTTTGCGATGTCACTTATGAATGGACACTTCCTTGTATCTGAGGCAGGAAACATAGCCTTATGTGGTGTTTTTGGGGTGGTAATTATGCTAATCTCCTCTCCCCGTGCACGAGCACCTGATACACATTCATCAGTTTACGCTCCTCATTTACACACTTTTCCTGAAGATAGAAGAGTTTGTTGAATCTGACGTGACATGTTCGTACGAACCCTTTGTACGAACAAAAGTAAGAGAAATTTAGGATAAGAATACGAACATGTTCTTGCATGAGGCCCATTGAGCTCAACTGACTTTGACTGCTGTGCTAAAGTCACATGATCTAGAGTGGAGAGGTCCAAACTTAAACCATTTCTTGGTGAACAACTTCTTCCTACTGCCACAATTTTTATTAGACCACAACCAGTAAATGCATTTGTATTTTCAGAAAATATTTCTGGTTTTGCTGAGGGACTCAGCCACAAAGGGCAGACTGATGCCAGTTCTTCTCACACTCTGGTTCAGAAAGCAAAATGAAGATTGTTTTTAACCCCTTAACAGTTGGCCTAAAAAATTTTAAAAAACCTTTTTATATTTTTTATTTTATATAAGGTGTCATACTAAAAGTAAGAACCAGAGGAAGTCGTCTGACACCCTGGTTTTCAAAAAGACTGCCCCCGGTAGCATCTGGAAATGTCTAAAAATGTTTAAATGGTAAATGGTCTGAAATTATATAGCGCTTTATCAAGCCCAGTCAGAGCCCCAAAGAGTTTTATAGTTACATACATTTACCCAGTCACACACACATTCAAAGTGATGATGGTAAGCTACATGGTAGCCACAGCGGGGCACACTGACAGAAGCAAGGCTGCCATGCACCAGCACCACCGGACCCTCTGACCACCATCAGTAGGCAAGGCGGGTGAAGTGTCTTGCCCAAGGACACAACGATTGAGACAGTGTAGTGTCTAAAAGTGGGGGCCTCTTCTCAGGAATGCACAGATGTACTATGTCTCTCTTAGACCCCAGCTTCAGAACTCGGCACGTTACCATATTAGGAAAGGAATGCTTAAGGTATAACGTGACAAAATTTATGGTGCATCTGTTGGACTGCACTGTGAAACCTATAAAAAGGCTTGTACGCCCCTACTCTTCGCCTTCGTCTTCATCTTTTTACCTGGTGATTCATTTGGTTTAGAAGGCCACGATTTGGTTTTTGGCTGTAAATCTCCTGGACTGCAAAATAAAGATTTTTGCTGTTCAACCAGCCTGTTTCAGAGTTTCTCTCTTCAGGAGCAGCAGCAGTTTTGCAGAACCGAGAAGACCCGGTTTTTACACCTCAACAGCTAGAATGGAGGATCAAACCGTGAACCCTCCGGCTGCAGAACAACTCCCCTAGCCACTCAGTCACAGTCGCAGAAACCAAACTGTTTTTGCCCACCGGTGTAACAAAGACTGTTAAGCCATCATATCTCTGATATAAAAATTGGACAATTTACACGAGTAAGAATCAATCACTTCTCTCAGTCACGATTCAATAATTACTTTAATAGACCACATGGTTTTTACACCACCGCTAATGCAAATTTTAGATAAGGCTTTAATTCAGCTATTTTTAGACTTACAAATCTGGAAACAGGTATTATAGTAGCCAAAAACAAGTTTTGACAAATTCTGAAAGCTAAACAACAATTCAAGATGGTCGCCAGAGATTTGAAACTGCAATAATTCAGTCATTTTAAGACTTGTTGAGATAAATTTTTGTGTTGTCATGGCTGAGAACCATCCCAGTCATACTTTGAGTCCAAAACAAAAATCCAAGATGGCCACCATAGCTGAGACCCAACTAAACACTTTCTGAATGCTAATCACAAGTTTAAACTAAACAGCAATGGTAGTTTTGGATAGGATCAGCTGTTTTTAGACACATGGGTGGTAGTTGAACGACCCTCATCACAAACTGAATCCAAATCAAAATTCCAAGATGGCTACCACAGATAAACAGGACAGCATATGACAAACCTTTTCACAGTTTCTCCAGGAACTCTAGTTTTTATATATTGTCTGATGTAATTCTGTTTTATTGCAGAACATAGTCAAAAAACTGCTGACAGTATAAAAAGCTGCAAAAATTAGCACAAGTTATAAAGTGTTTGCTCTTTTTGTGAAGATGGCTGACTGTGTTCTGTATGTCGTCCTTTATATCCTCTTCAGTGATGACAAACAATAACAGAAGTTTATATGACCCCCAAATCAGCCAGCTCTTTACTAATCTTACAGATTAACAGCTGCTCTCTGTGAAAATAATTTGGAATATTCAAACTTTTTTTAGATTTATTTGGTCACATTAGAAAACATAACATTGTTATTAGATGAGTAACGTCAGACTCTATCATCTCACAGAGTTGTTTTTTTTTAAGTTATGACAAAAAAGGAAAAAGGAAAGAACGTAATGTTTTCTTCTGACGTGGTTTTTCAAGTTAAGTGCCTGATGTGTGGCCTTGATTGTGACTAATTAGTTTGCAGTGCAGTATACAACCAGAAAGTCATAATGTTATAAAGTTCTTATCTGCTAACCCTCACATTTTTTTACTTTGATTTTCTTGTTAATTTTTTTCACTTTTGAATAGCTGAGAACTGATGGAGACATGGACTTTGATCAGACTTGTGTTTTAAGCAGCAGTTTGAGTCAATATCTTTATGTGCATCGCAGACAAAACTGGAAATCAGAACCGTCCTACATGACTGTGATCGTGTCTGAAAGTGATGTGTGGGTTTGAACGAGTGTCTCACCTAAAGTGGACAGCACTCCACAGGCGGTCCAGATGAGGAGGCAGGGTCCCACAGCTCCTGAGTACCTCAAAACAGATTTAGGTGAAATGAAGATCCCTGAGCCAATCATAGTCCCAACAATTAGAGAAATGCCACTCAGCAGACCAACCTGGACAAATGCAGGCAAAACAAACAAACAAACAAAATGGAAAAAGAATTAAAAACACATGAAAGTTTCAGTACGTGTTCAGTTTTTTATTCAGTTGTTGTATCTCAGTACAATCATTGAGACAAAAAATGAGAATGATTACTATACAGCATTCAATAACTGAATTACATTACAATAATTTGCAACATCTCAAGTTTAGTACATGTTCTGTAGATTAAACAACTAAATGGGGAAAGCATTGATTAATACTCTGTCAGTGTTCGTAACTGAAGATCAAACTAAAAACAGAGACTCATCTCATTATTGGGTAACCTGCTAATAAACAACATCAATTTAATGTGACAACAATGTAACAGCCTGGTATTATAAATTTATTACTTCCTCATCTACACAGATGCAACCAATTAGACCACTGATATTATTATTTTAAGACCTGTTATTGTTTACATTTTGAAAAGTTGCAAATATTTTCAGCTTTTTTTCTGTGATTTATTTTTTGTGGAAAGTCACATGGTTGGATTTCTGCAAGCTTCATATCATAGTGTTCTTTGACAATAAAATGAACTTAGAGTTTAAATTGTGAAATGTTATGATGTAGACCTAGTGTTTCCCAAAGTTGGGGTCTGGACCCAAAGTGGGGTCCCGAAACATCAAGGTGGGGTCCTGAAAAGATTTTCTAAATTAATTACATTTTTTGCCTTATAGATGCCTAAAATGTGTAAAAGTAGAATAATATATATTGTTACTATGCCCATGTTCAGTTGACCTGATACAAATGTTTATCATCCAAAAATAGTAGCAGAGACCTGTGCCCACAACTGTTATTTTGTGGGTCAAAAGCTGAAAAGTTTGGGAACCACTGCACTTCAGAAATCAATTTAAAGGGTAATAAAATAATTGTTGATGTAAAATTTTCCCTAAAAACACAAAATAAGTATAAATATTTATATTTGTGTAGCCTTTGTTTTTAGGGTTACTAACAAAGTTTGTGTACTCAGACCAGTAACAATTGGGTTCACAAGTTTTTGCAATGAATTTTTTGTGGGTCAGAAGATAAAAAGTTTGGGAACCACTGTTGTAGACTGCTGTCAAATAGAGCAATAGCAGAGGACGTAATATAAAACAAACCCAATTTAAGTTGAATTTTAAAGGTTTGAACACAAATTTTATTTTGGAATAAAAAACTTGGGAGTAACCCATATTTCATGTATTCCTCAAAAGCAAAACGCACGCGCACGCACACACACACACACACACACACATACACACATACATGCACGCACGCACACACACACACACACACATTCTTGTACTTCCATCAAACTGAGGACTTTGTGTCGACTTCCATTCATTTTTGGAACTGCATGCTTAACCTAGACATTTTCCCTAACCATAACCATTACTGGTCTATTCCTAGCCATAACCATTACTGGTCTATTCCTAGCCATAACCATTACTGGTCTATTCCTAGCCATAACCATTACTGGTCTATTCCTAGCCATAACGATTACTGGTCTATTCCTAACCATAACCATTACTGGTCTATTCCTAACCCTAACCATTACTGGTCTNACCATTACTGGTCTATTCCTAACCCTAACCATTACTGGTCTGTTCCTAGCCATAACCATTACTGGTCTATTCCTAACCCTAACCATTACTGGTCTATTCCTAACCATAACCATTACTGGTCTATTCCTAACCATAAATTTAACCAAAACTTAATTCACACCATACCTCTAAACTTAGTAGACTGCAGTAGAACTGCAAAAAATAGAGAGGACCAGGAAAATGTCCTCATTTTCCAAAAATGACCTCATTTTGTTGGTTAAATCAGAGGTTCTCAAACTGGGGTCCCAGGACCCCCAGGGGTCCGCAAGAGGTATCTTGAGGGTCCTCAAAAAATTTCACTAAATTGTTAATTTTGTTTTTATTTTTTAAGAATGCATAGAGAACAATGGGCCTCATGCAAAAACATGTTCGTATTCTTATCCTAAATTTCTCTTACTTTTGTTCGTACAAAGGGTTCATACGAACATGTCACGTCAGATTCAACAAACTCTTCTATCTTCAGGAAAAGTGTGTAAATGAGCTGCTTAAATTCCACCTGTTCGTATCCAGCTGCTCATG